GCCTGCGCGGCGCAGGAACGTTGATCAGCGCTCGTGATGCCTGGCTCTCTTGGCCCGCGGCTCCCCGTACTCGCCGCGGTCGTTCGGCGCCGCCGGGGGCGCAGGCGGGAACTTGCCCTTGCCGCCGCCCTTGGCGCCCTTGCCGCCGCCCTTGCCGGGTTTTCCGCCGCCCTTGGCACCCTTGCCCCCGCGGGGGGCTGAGCGCTCCTGACTTTCGCGATCGTACGCGGCCTCTGCCTCGCCCAAGAGAGTCACATCGATCGTTGCCACGACAGTTTCGATGTCGAGGGAATCATCACCGGCGCGAGACCTCTCTGCCCAAGTGCGCCGGCAAATCTCATCGTATACGAGCCCCAGCGCGCCACTCCGATTAGCATTGGGCGCCTGCGCGGCCACCTGCCGCGCCGCGCGCGCATCGCACTCGCGCCGCTGGATCCGCAGAGCAACGGCGATAGGCGGGCCTTCATGACGTTCTGGCGGTGGCGAATCGTCGCAGCCAGCGTCATCTGCTCCGTGCAGACGCAAGCGATGGCGTACCTACGCGCTCGGACGACGCCGTTGCTCTTGGGTGCGCGCCCCGCGCGCAGACGCGTGCACCTGTCGAAGGCGGCATGCCATTGCGTGAAAGTGAGCGACTTCGCTTTGACTGGGTTCGCTACGCCGAGCGCGCGCGAAAGGTCGCGAAGATCCCGAGACATGGGCGGGCCCTCATCAGCCTCCTCTTTCGCGCTCTTCGATTCTGCCCAGGACGGCAAGAACTTCTTCAGGTCAGCGAACACAAATGGCCGCTTGATGCCGCGACGCTGCAGCCGCTTCACGTCCGTCTCGAGGGCGTCGACCGCCGCGGACCGCGGCCAAAACGCCTGGCCCACATCCTTCAGAGCGCCTCCTTGCAACTTCGCCTGAATGTCCACGTGGCACATCGGCTCAGGTGCTGACCCGCTCCCGGCCGCGCTGCCTGCGCTGGCCGGATCAGCCGCGCGCTGTTCCTCCGCTGTCAGAGACTTCGCGGCAGCCATCACTCTGGCTAAGAAGGAGCGCTTACCCGCGGACGGGTTGCCCTGCAGTGCGCCGGGATCTGCAAACGCAAGATCACGCACTGACTCCAACTCATTGTCCTGCGCGCGAGGCACTGGCGCGTCGTGGCGGCATTCGCAGCCGCTCGCGGCGCCTGGCATAGGGCTGCGCACTGCCGAAGCCACTCGGCGCCGCGGCTTGTATCATCATGGGCCGCAAGAAAATCAGCCAGGCTCATGGAAAGCGTGGGCGTTGCAGCGCACATCGCTGGTGCGGCCGCGGCGCGCCCAACGGCGTATGCGGCTCGCGTCTTCTGCCTGCGCGCACTGCTGGCTCCGTCGCGTAACAACGATCATTGCGCGCGTCTCCTGACGAATGTCAACATGCTGGGCGGCGGAAACCGGTCGCATTGACGCGGTAATATTGGCGTGGTCGCACTGACACGGTCGCGCTGACACGGTCGCAATGACGCATTCGCTTTTACACATTCGCATTGATACGGTCGCGGCGAGACGGACGCGTTGACATGGTCGCAACGGCACGGTCCCCTTGACACGCCCCACAAGACACGGACGCAGTGACGCGGAGAAATTGGCACGGTCGCAACGACACGGCGTAATTGACGCGTTGCGTTGACGCAATCGAAAAGACGCGGTCGCATTGACACGGCCTTACAGACGCGGTCGCATTGACGCGATCTTACTGGCGCGGTCGCGTCGACACGGCCCAGGCACGGTCGCATTGACACGGCCGCATCAACACGGTCACATTGACGCGGTCATACTGGCACGGTCGCATTGACACGGCCAAAGCACGGTCGCATTGACACGGCTTTATCGACACGGTCGCACTGACACGGTCGTATTGGCACGGTCGCATTGACACGGCCCAGGCACGGTCACATTGACACGGCCTTATTGACCCGGTCTCACTGACACGGTCGTATTGGCACGGTCGCATTGACACGGCCATAGCACGGTCGCATTGACACGGCTTTATCGACACGGTCGCACTGACACGGTCGTATTGGCACGGTCGCATTGACACGGCCCAGGCACGGTCGCATTGACACGGCCTCATTGACACGGTCATACTGACACGGTCATACGGAAACAAAAGCCGCCACGGCGGCCCGCGACGCGCGCACCGAGGGCGCCAGCCTCGCGTTCGGCCGACAAGCGCCCTCGGGGCAGCGCGCGCGACGCGGGGGTATATTTACCCTCCCCCCACCGCAGGGAGACGTGGACAAAGAACACGAACAAGACGAGGAACACGAAGTCCATGAAGACCTGAGGCGAGCCACCCCAAACGCACCCCCCAACCGACCCAACCCGCCCCACCACAGGCACCGCGGCGAACCGCGGCGCCAGCGGCGGGGCGGCAGGGGTAAAAGGTTCCCAGGTCCGCGTTTTTGTGACAACGAACAAAACTGCGTTGTGTTCTCGCCAACAAAAAATGGTCGCATGCATGCCTTCGAATCAAGATACAAGACAGCAGCTATGAAACGTGAGTCAACGTGCTGGCGCCCAGGAAGAACACCGGGACGGCGCTCCACCAGTGCGCGGCAGCCGGCGGCCGAAAAATGCACTCGGACTCTTCGCAGCGCATGTGGCGTGCCGTTGCCCAAGCCCCATCGCCAAGTGTTCAACATGTCTTCGGCCCTAGCGGATGAAGCTTGCTCATGCTCGGTCCTCACGCCCGCAAATCCACGGGCCCTACCTGTCGTCAGGAGCGAGCTGCCCAGAGACCTTGAAAACAAGATAGGCTGCACTTCTGGAAATCAGACTGCCACCGCATCTGGCCTTTGGTTGGGGCCGCTGCCGAAGATACACTTGAAATGCCTGCCCTGGGCACACTGACTTTGATGATCCGAGAATCTACGCGACGCTTCATCCAGCAGAAAAGGAACGGAAACCCAACATGGAGGATCTAGAATATCTTGGCGCGTCCTGCACGCATTGCCATGATTTCGACGCGCACCCCGAAGCCTCTGGAGGTCATGGGGCCACGACCGAGTGGTACAGATTGCGCCTGACGTCCCAAATGCAACATTTGAAAACTCGAATGAGCTTGAATGATGGGCATTCGAACCGCCAAAGGCCGCATCTTCGCCCGATGACAAAGGCAATTCTCCTCGCAACGCTCTGCAATTGCCATCGCTCTCGAGAGGGGACACCATCAACCCCTGTAGGCAAGGACGTTAAGACAACGAGCGCGATCGCAGAACCTAACCTCGCATTCGTGGCCCCGCCCATAGCCGCTCTACCAGCCCAGTGGGCCGGAGGAGTACGAGCACTGCCGAGGAATCACATGAGATACCGCGCTGCTGCGCTCCAGCTCGGGGCGCCGGCCCGGCACGCCCCGCGCGATCGGCGCCCCGGCGACCGCGAGGACCGCCAGGGGAAGGACCCGGGCGGTGGGAGCAGACTGCCGCGCCGCGCGCGTGCAGCGCCTCCCCTCCGGAGCCCAAGCCCCGCCACCCGGGGCGGGAAGGGCGCGAGCCACCGGGTGCGCAGCACGGGATGCCCATGGGCTCCGCGCCGCACGCGCCCGCCTCTGTGCCGTCTCGCCCTGCCTCGCCTCGCCTGCCCCGCCCCGCCCTGGCCTCCCGCCTGCGCGCCCGCCGCCGCGTGCTCGCTCCCCGCTCCCTGCCTCCCTCTCCGCCGCCGCGCAGCACAGACTTCGGCTATACGCGCAGGGGTGACCCTGTGGGTCAGAGAGAGTGACCGTTGGTGCGCGGACTGAGAGGTGCAAGGTGGCCAAATCCAAGCGCGCGAGCAGCCGCCATCGCATCGCGCCCAGCGATGGGGGAGGCCGCGATGAGCCCGCACCGAAGGTCACTCCAGCGGAACGGCACACTTACGCATAGCCGAAGACTGCCAGGAGCAGGCGGCGCAGGCGCGCTAGGCCATGTTGCTGCGAACGGGAGGCAGCCGCGTCCGCCTCGGCAGCCACCGGCGCCGGCGCGCGCGCCGCCGGCGCCGCCATCGAGGCGTCAGCCTCGCTGACAATCGGCTCCGCCCGACTTCGAAGAGTGGCCCGCAGCGCGACCCGGCCCAGCCCTCTGGTCGGAGCCGGGCGAGTCGAGACAATGGCAGCTCAGAATCGGTCCCCGGCTCCATCCTAGTCTTTTGCAAAAGTGCCAGCTTCCCTAGCTGCGCCCAGCCTCTGCGGCTAGGGGGGCCCCTGAAGGCCTGCGATCGCCGTGGCGACTCGCCCTCCTCTGAGCTCACCAATGGCCCCAGGGCGTGAGGCGCCGCAGGGCTGCCCGCCGACGGCCCCGTCCGCCCGGATCGGGGGAGCACGGCCGGGAGGCAGGAAGCCACTCTGCCGAAGGGGCCCTGCGGTGAGCCTCGACGTCCCTTGGCGCGGTGGCAACTCTGGTCGCCCGGCTGCTCCCCAGTGGGCGGCCGTGGCGCGGGCACGCTGGGCGGCCAAGCTCCTTCTCTCCCCAGCTCCAACGACATCGCCAGCAGGCCCGCTCGCTCTGCCATCGCCGACACCGACTGCCGCGGCAGCTGTGCACGGGAATGCCTCGGTGCACGAGCAGGTCCCAGCGACCAACACATGAATCCATCGGTGCACAGAGCCCGCCCCCCCTCGGTGCAAAGGAACCGCGGCCAGGCTCGCCGCGGCCTTGTTGGCGCGAGCTCGCCCCGGGACGAGCCGGTGGGCCGGCCGAGCCGCAACGGCAGCGCGGAGGGCCCGTGAGTTACCTCTGACGCCGCGACATGCTACGACGCGGGGCCCCAGAACTCTCGACCCCATCGCCCAGAACGGTTGTACGCCGCGAGTTGTGTGCTGATGGGCCGGAGGCGGCGATAGGGGACAAAGTTAGCCCAGGGGCGTGCGTTCCACGTTTGCGTTCGCTGGGTAGCCTCGCCGAAGACATTGACATGGACCATCGGCGCCCCTGGATGCATGAATTGTCTTGCGCCCCACCCCTCGGCTATTCGCCCCCTATGGGGCGCCTCCGGATGGGC